CTCTCCCTTCTCGACCCTTCTTTTTTTGTTGAAAATATACATAGCCAAAGATACACCACCCCAAAAATTTCTACATGCACAGTTCAGGGACATCAACCACGCTGTTCCAGTTGTGCTGCCACTGTCACTCTAGATGAAGGCCTACAGAACAAAATAGTTTCTCATTTAACAGTTAGTGCACATGTTGCCCTATGACAACAGTTAACAACCTCACAACACATCAACACTATCCTTACTCAACCTTGGGTTCCCTATCACCAGCTTTCTTGTCCTCTTTTGCCTTCTGGCCCCTGTCCCTGGACTGCTGTACCTCATTAGTCCCATTTGGTTTTATGGGGCTGTCCACTCCCAGGCTGAACGGTGAACCTCAGAGATGACCTCACCACTGAGCCAAAAGGGTGTCTGGGGGCCACACTCTCGGGGCTTCCCCAGTCTCCTTTAGGCCAGTAAATCTGGTCCTCTTTTTTGTGAGTTAGAATTTTGTTCTACATCCTTCTCCAGCTCCGTCCAGAACCCTCTGCCGTGATCCTGGTCCGAGCAGCCAGTGGTGGTAGCTGGGCACCATCTAGCTGTACAGGACCCAGTCCAGTGGAGGCCTTGGTAGCTGTGGTCCATCAGTCCTTCAGACCAATCCTTTCCCTACATCCTGCTCTATGAGGCCAGTTTTTGAAGCTTGCTCTGACTCCTAGCTGTCATAGCTGTCTCCCCAGTTCTCTCTGTTACAATTCTAACTGGTCTCCTATTTTGCTTGTTGCTATCATAGAGCTACCAGTTTCTTCGTAACTACTTACCAGCAAAATCTTCATTGTTCTCAATAATACTCTTAGATTTGAACTTCTTCATGCTCGATTACAAATAAAGTCAATCTCCTTAGAGAAAGCTGTGGAGCTCTCTGTTCTTACGGTCTGTCTCTGCCCCTGGGAAGAACCTCTGTTCCACTGCTCTGAAGCTGGGAGCAGGGACATCAACCCACTTCTCTTGGAGTGGCACCTCTGCTCTAAGAGCAGGGCACTGGATAGGAGTGGTAGTCCCTGATCTTCTTGGCTTGCATCTCCTAGAATGGAACCTCTGCCGTACAAGCAAGCTGGGGTGATGGCTGTTGGGGCTTGGTATTCTCAACCTTTCATGCCTGGAGTAGAGCTTCCACCCTATGAAGCGGGGGCTGGATAGCAGAAGGGAGCCCTAAACCTTTGGCTATACTTGCCTGGAATAGAGCTCTGCAGCACAGAGCTGGAAGGGATGAGAAATGCTGATGGTCTGTCCCTCCTGAGAAGTAACCGTAGCCCTATAGTAGGTCTGGGTAGAGAAGGAACACTGTCTTGGCGGCCCCTGCCCGCAGTAGAGCTTCCATCACACTGAACTGGATAGGGAAAGTGGAAAACAGGTCATGGCTCAAATGTCACAGACTCTTGCTGAGATTTACTGCTGTTGTTGTTGTTGTTAGGTGCTGTTGAATCGGTTCCAACTCATAGTGACCCCACACACAAGAGAACAAAATACTGCCTGGTCCTGCACCATCCTCACAATCATTGTTATATTTGAGCCAATTGTTGCAGCCACTGTGTCAATCCATCTGTGTCAATCCATCTCACCCTTTACCAAGCATGATGTCCTTCTCCAGGATTTGGTCCTTCCTGAGAACATGTCCAAACTACGTAAGACTAAGTCTCACCATCCTTGCTTCCAAGGTGCCCTCTGGCTGTATTTCTTCCAAGACAGACTTGTTCGTTCTTCTAGCAGTGCATGGTATATTCAGTATTCTTCACCAACACTGTAATTCAGAGGCATCAATTCTTCTTTAGTCTTCTTTATTCATTGCCCAGCTTTGGCATGCATGTGAGGCAATTGAAAGTATCATGGCTTGGGTCAGGTACATGTTAGTCCTCAAAGTGACATCTTTGCTTTTGAACACTTTAAAGAGGTCTTTGGCAGCAGTTTTGCCCAGTGCAATATGTCTTTTGATTTCCTGACTACTGCTTCCTTGGGCGTTGATTATGGATCCAAATAAAATGAAATCCTTGACAACATTAATCTTTTCTCCATTAGTGATGATACTGCTTATTGGTCCAGTTGTGAGGATTTTTGTTTTCTTTATGTTGAGGTGTAATTCCTACTAAAGGCTGTGTGTAGTCTTTGATCTTCATCAGTAAGTGTTTCAAGTCCTCTTCACGTTCAGCAACAAGGTTGTGTCTTCTGCATAACGCAGGTTGAGATTTACTAGACTTTCCTAAATACATGTTTTTCCATTTGCTTGTATGCCCTTAAGATAATTTCCAGAGACTTTAAATGGTTGTTTCTTTTATTATTATTATTTTTTACCAGTTATGGCTGTTTTACTGGGGAGAGGGTCCCCAAAACTCCTCACATTGCCATTCCAAAAGAGCTCCCCTAATAGAGTTAGTTTTACTTTCCAAAACAAAAGTTCTGGGAACCCAGATATTTTCACCAAAACTGTATGGTAGCCAGTCTGTTCCTGTGAATTTAATGCTACTGAAAATTAAAGCATATGGATCTTTCTTTAATCACCAATATAGAACATCTGCATTCAATGATTTGACAGAAAATAAACGTTATTTATAATACAACTTTCTAATATTCGTAAGAAGCTTAATTATCAGAAATGATATTTGTGGAGGATTGCACAAAGGTTATATAATTTCCTGGATATATTGTGGGTTTGTTTCTTTTTTTGTTTTTCCCAGTTACTCCTTTTTTCTGGGAACTGGCACCATCTCCTTCCTATCCCATCTAAATCACTTGGTTATTGTGTAAAATGGCTTCCAATGCAATGTGACCCTATTTCTTGGCCACAGTTGATTGGTCCAGGGCTGGGCACCCAGAGTTGTGCTAATCTGAGTTCTTCCCTAGGAATTGTGGAACTGAACCTCATAAAAAAGTCTCTTCCCAGTAAAGCTTTGGGATATAAAACCTTTAGTTGTCAGCAGCTGTGTTTCCAGAGAAACTGGGGAGACTGTTTATGGAGAGAGATAAGAATGGTGTCAATATTCAGAGACACATCTTGACCTTGTTTTTCTCTGAGGCTCAGCACATTGTTGGTGTCATAGATCACCTCAGTATCCTTAAAATAAGTTCCTTTTTTAGGTTTAGCTTGCTCAAGTTGAATCTTGCCTCTAGCAATCAAGAGTCCACGAGGTCTGTTTTTCCTCTTGATCACCGTTTCCCAAAGTATGTTCCTCAGAACGTTTATCCATTCTTAAAGTTCTTTGAGTCAGAGTCAACCCTGTGGCATGGTAGTAGTAGTAGCATAGTCCTTTAAAAAAGGATCTTTGTGTATGTGGTCGGTGTGTTCCATGGTCAAACAAATGTTTGAAGACACTCTTTTTCCCAACAGAGATTTACACTGTGTGTTAGCACAGTACTGTAAGGCTCTGGGAGCTTAGGTGATTTTTTGTTTTGTTTTAAGTTTCTTTAGCCCAGTATTTCCCTAATCTATTTGCTCCCAGCTCACCTATTCCCACAGAATCTATTAACTGGTTATTCATAGAGAGCACATTTGGGGAAAAGCTGCCTTAGATACCTAAATTTTATCTTCAAATTAAATTAGGCCATCATTGAGCTGTGTGCCTTGTGTATATTCTTTTAGTTTGTAGAGAATAACATTTACTGAATTGTGCTTTGGCATATGAAATAACCATAAGACATATGTGCCCTTGACACTACTACAGAAATTTCCTGAGATTGTTGTTACCTGCATCACATGGTGTCCTTTTTTTTTCTTTCTTTTTTTAAATGAGGACTCACTCTAGAATTATCTCTTAGTTCTCAGACCTAGGAGTAGCTTCTCTAAGCAACTGGTTTGGTTTTTATCTTACAGACACTGTGTATGGTACAATTAAACGTGTATGTACTAATCTTATTCACAGGAGCCCTGGTTGCACAATGGTTAAGCACTCGGTTGCTCACTAGCAGGTCAGTGGTTGGAACCTACCAGTGGCTTCACTGGGAAAAAAGACCTGGTGATCTGCTCCTGTAAAGATTATAGCCTAGAAAACTCTACAAGGCAGTTCTACTCTGTCATACAGGGTCACTATATGTCATATGGAAACCCTCCCTGGTGGCGTAGTGGTTAAGAGTTCGGCTGCTAACCAAAAGGTTGGTAGTTCGACTCTACCAGGTGCTCCTTGGAAACCCTGTGGGGCAGTTCTGCTCTGTCCTATAGGGTTGCTATGAGTCAGAATCAACTCGACGGCAACGGGTTTGGTTTTTTTTTTGAAATGTCATATGATTGGAATCGACTTGATGGCACACAGTAACAACAATCTTATTCTTGGCTTCATCTTAATTTCCTCAATCTTGTTTTCCTTTACCGTAATTTCCTCCCTTATTTTTATTAAGTATTTTATTTATTACTCTTGTATGTATTTTTGCAAGGCACTTCAATCCTCTTTGGAGTGAGACTAAATGTAAAGAGATGAATGAATAAAATAAAATTGTTTAAAATTAATATGTTTAAATGAGATACATGTCAGTATAGATACTTATAGAAAATAATTCATAAGACAACTGTCATGGATTGAATTATGTCCCCCAAAAAATGTGTGAATCAATTTGGCTGGGTCATGATTCCCAGTACTGTATGATTGTGTACCATTTTGTAATCTGATGTGATTTCCTTATGTGTTGTAAATTCAGTCACTATGATGTAAAAAAATGGATTAGCGGTAGTTGTACTGATGAGGTCTACAAGATTGGATAATGTCTTAAGCCAATCTGTTTTGAGATATAAAAGAGAGAAGTGAGCAGAGACACATGGGAACCTCATACCACCAAGAAAGCAGTGCCGGGAACAGAGTGCATCCTTTGGACTGAGGTTCCTGCACTGAGATAGTCCCAGAACAAGGGAAGACTGATGACAAGGACCTTCCTCCAGAGTCTTCCCCTGGAGCTCATGCCCTGAATTTGGGCTTATAATCTGCTAGACTGTGAGAGAATAAATTTTTCTTTGTTAAAGCCATCCGCTTGTGGTATTTCTGTTACAGCAGCACAAGATGACTAAGACAACAACTGAAAATTTTTATGGCTATAAATCATGGAGAGAAATCATAAAGTAAGAAATGTATCTAAAGACTTTGGCCTTCTAAATATAAGTCTGATAAAATCTAAAAGCATTAAGTTTACAAAGCATTATATTTATCTTTCTTTTTTGTTGCATAGGTTTCGTCAGATTTTTAGAAGGCTATTATATTGTGTTAATAACTAAAAGGAGGAAGATGGCAGATATTGGAGGTCATGCAATATATAAGATTGAAGATACAAATATGATCTATATACCCAATGATTCTGTACGAGTTACTCATCCTGATGAAGCTAGGTATGTACTAGTGTTAATTACTATTTTTGTAATGTGGTAGACCAGTTAGAACACAAAATATATTCAGAGGATTATAAATGTTACATAAAAAGTTCAAATGCTGGCTCAGAATTTTACAACTTTTATTCAAAGGCTATTAAAAACCCCATTATAATAATTCTGGCAAGAATCCACAGTAGATTCTAAAACCATTAAGTGAAAGGTTGTTATTGGGGAACAAGATAGTCACAATCTCACCATATCACTCCATGAATCTCTTTATTATTTACGAAGAGAAAAGGTATTTTTTATAATAAAAAAAAAGACATACTTGACCAAATGGGCAAACTTAGCATCACCAATAAAGAGACAAAAACTTACATTATGTGCCTCTTTGTGATGCAGTGGGAAGGACACAGATCATCTATATAGTTTTCTTGCAAAAAATATTTAACTTGAATCTAAGAATGAGGAAGTAATCAGACAAATCCATACTGTGGGACATTGTGCAAGACAGCTAGCCTGGATTCTTCAAAAATGTCAATACTGTGAAAGACAGAAAAAGCCAGAGGACTATTCTAGATTTTAGGAGACAAAGGAGATGTGACAGCTAAATGCAACATGTGAATTTCATTTGGATCCTATATTAAAGCATACATACACATACACAGATATAAAGAACTTTATTGGGATAGTTTGTCTATAGACAATAAGTTGTTGTGTTGTAGTGTGCCGTCAAGTCAGTTCAGACTCATAATGACCCTATATGGCAGTAGAATTGCCCCATAGGGTTTCCTAGGCTGTAATCTTTATGGAAGGAGCCCTGGTGGCTCAGTGATGAAAGCACTTGGCTGCTAACCAAAAGATCAGCGTTTCAAACCCACCAGCCGCTCCATGGGAGAAAGATGTGGCAATATGCTTCTGTAAAGATTTAGAATCATGGAAACCCGATGGGGCGGTTCTACTCTGTCCTATAGGGTCCAACTATGAGTCAGAATTGACGTGATGGCAACAAGTTAATCTTTATGGGAGCAAATTGCAGGGCATTTTTCTCCCGTGGAGCCTCTGGTTAGCAACCTTTCGGTTAGCAGCCAAGCACTTAACAATTGTGCCACCAGTGCTGCTTATATAGACTATATACTAGGTGATAGTGAATCATAATTAAATTTTGGTACAGTAATAGTATTGTGAACATTTAGGAGATGGTCCCTGTTCATAGTAGATACATACCGAAGTCTTCAGGGGTAAAGTGTCACGTCTGCTGTTGTTGGGTGCTGTCGAGTCGATTCCAACTGATAGCGACCCCGTGTGACAAAGTAGAACATAGGGTTTTCTTGGCTGTAATCTTTATGGAAGGAGATCGCCAGGTCTTTCTCCCATGGAGCCACTGGGTGGGTTCAAACCACCAACCTTTCAGTTAGCAGCTGAGCACTTAACCATTGTGCAACCAGGGCTCCTTTGTGATGTCTGCTACTTACAATCAAATGGTTTAGAAAAATAAAATAGGCATGTATATTTAAAGAGAGAGATAAAGTGCGTGTGCGTGTGTGTGTGTGTGTGTGTGTGTGTGTGTGTTTAAGGGGAGAGATTTTAACAGTTAATTCAGATAAAGGACATACTGGTTTTGTTGTGCTGTTTTTTAGTTCAATTTTCTTGTAAATTTAAAGTCTTTTAAAATAATTTTTTGGGGGAAAATTATTGGAGCCCTGAGACTGTGGGCAAGGCTATTAAATTGATAGAGAAAAGGGTAGAATTGATTTATTTTTAATATTATAAAGATTAAAACTGAACTAAGTTAGATATGTTTACAAGTTTTTAAAAAAATTTTTTTGATTGTACTTTAGATGAAGGTTTACAGAGCAAGTTAGTTTTTCCTCATTAAACAATTACTATACATATTGTTTTGTGACATTGGTTGCCATCCCCATGACATGTCAACACTCTCCCCTTCTCGACCTTGGGTTCCCTATTACCAGCTTTCCTGTCCCCTCCTGCCTTCTTGCCTTGCCCCTGTGCTGGTATGCCCATTTAGTCTTGTTTTATTTTATGGGCCTGTCTTATCTTTGGCTGAAGAGTGAACCTCAGGAGTGACTTCAGTACTGAACTAAACGGGTGCCCGGGGGCCATACTCTCGGGTTTCTCCAGTCTCTTATCAGACCAGTAAATCTGGTCTTTTTTTGTGAGTTAGAATTTTGTTCCACATTTTTCTCCAGCTCAGTCTGGGACCCTCTATCGTGATCCCTGTCAGAGCGGTCAGTGGTGGTTGCCAGGCACCATCTAGTTGTGCTGGACTCAGTCTTGTAGAGAGGGCAGGTAACATTTTACATTTAATTACACTTTATACTTTTATAGTGTTGTTCTGGTACATGAACTGAGGTTAAGGGTCGTGTGACTCTCTTGCTTAAGACCTGCTTAGATAATAGTTTTCTGGATCCCTGATGATGATTTCGAAGCGGGGTTGTTAAAAAAATTTGTTTCAGTTGAAGATAAGTACAGCTTCCTAGATAAAAGGGACTTTTGTGTTACACCAACCGAAAAAAATATATACCCCATAAAGTTTAAAGGCAGCCGTAGTATATTGATTAAAAGTGAAGTCCTATAGATGAGTACATTTGAATCCAAGGGATGAGAAAGAGATGAAGAAATTTGTATTACTTATAAACCTCTTCTTTATGATTCTTTAGCCAAGAATAGTAGAAACATAAGAGAAATCCATAACATAGTCAAAACATAATCTAACCCACATAGTGACCTGACTATCTTTAAAGAATGAAATTATCTTATGATTAGTATTGTGCAATAAAAGAATATTATCCAGAATAAGATACAATTATATTAAATAGCTTGTAGTAGGCAAACTGAAGTATTATTTGCTAGACAGGTAGAAGTTTTAACACACTTAAAAAGTTATATAATCTAATAACATATTTAAGTAAAAATATTTGGTAAAATATTGGGAAATAAAATAGAGTAGTAGTAAACATTCCATACATAATGACAAGTAGAGCTCATCTCTGTAATGCATGGTTGTATCAACTGTAGAAGATTTATTGGAGCAACTTGCCATGTTAAAATGTTGATGGGAAAAATATGATCATCTTAATATTTGCAGAAAATATATTTGATGAAATTTGGTATCCACTCATGATCAAAAGTCTTAGCAAACTAGGAATAGAAGTTGTTAGGTGCTGTTGAGTGGATTTTGACTCATAGCAGCCCCATGTGACAGAGTAGAACTGCCCCATACAGTTTTCTAGGCTATAATCTTTTTGGAAGCAGATTGCCAGATCTTTCTCCCACAGAGCCACTGGGTAGGTTCAAAACTGCCGACCTTTTGGTTAGCAGCCAAACAGTTAACAGTTGTGCCACCAGGGCTCCTTAGGAATAGAAGGGACCTTTCTTAATCTGATAAATGACAGCTATTAAAAACCTGCATTGAAAAGTATTCTTAGAAGTGAAACTTTAGAAGAGTACCCTTTAAGGTCAGGACAAAATAGAGGTATCTGCCATCACTGCTAATACTCAACACAGTATTAAAGGTCCTAGCCAATGTGATGGGACTAGAAAACGAAATCAGGCATAAGGTTTGAAAAGAGATAAACATTGTCATTATTTGCAGAAAGCTTGATTTTCTACTTGGAAAATCCAAGAATATCTACAAACTCTGAGAACAAATGAGAAAGTTCAGAAAGTAGACTGAAGAAAAGATCAGCATATAAGAACCAGTAGTGTTTTTAAACACTGGCAATAACCAATCAGAAAATTTGGTAATGATCCCATTTACAGTAGCACCAAAGACAATAAGGTACCCGGGAATAAATATAACAACACTTGATGGAGAAAATTATAAAACGTTATTAAAAGATTTTAATAATCCCTAAATAATTGGAGAGATGGCCCTTGTTCATGGATGAGAAAGACTCTGTGTTATGACACCTTATGAAGATGTTAGTTTTCCCCCAAATTAATTGATAAATTTAATGTAACTCAAATCCAAATTCTAAGAGGATTTTTAAAAAATGGAACTTGATAAACTTATTTTAGGAGCCCTGGTGGTGCAGTGGTTAAAGCACTCCGTTGCTAACCAAAAGGTCGACAGTTTGAACCTACCAGTCAGCCGCTCTGCGGGAGAAGGATGCAGCAGTCTGCTTCCGTAAAGATTTACAGCCTTGGAAACCCTATGGAGCAGATCTTCTCTTTCCTGTAGGGTTTCTATGAGTCAAAATCGACTCGATGGCAGTGGTTTTGGTTTGAACTTAAATTTTAAAATTCATATGCAAAAGTAAAAGTCTAAGCATATTCAAAAAAATTCTGAAAAAGAGAAGGGATAGGTCCACCAGAGGTCCATGGCTGGTGCAAACGGTTTGTGCTCAACTACTTACCTAGAGATAGGCAGTTTGAATCCGTTCAGCGGCTCTGTGGAAGAAAGGCCCACCAATCTGCTTCTGTAAAGATTACAGACAAAAAAACTTTATGGAGTAGTTCTACTCTGTAACATACAGGGTTGCCATGAGTTGGAATCGGTTCAGTGGCAACAAGTAGGTCGAACCAGATAGTAAGACTTACTGTAATTAAGGTAACCAAATGGGTAGTAAGTTACGACTGCTTTGTATTGGTGGAGAAGTGGACAATGATCAATGAACAGAGATGAGAAAGTATAGAAAAAGATCCATTTTATGTGGGATATTGGAATATGATATAGAGGGCATTGCAAATCATTGGGGGAAGGATGGGCTAAATGGTGTTGGTTTTACATTTGGGCTAGAATAAAATTAGATTCCAATCTTGGACAATACTCAAAAAGCAGTTCCAGAAGTACAAACACAATTTAAAAAAAAACTCCCAGAAGAAAATAAAGATAAATATTTTTTGAGATCCTTGTGCAGAGAATGATTTCATAAACAAAATGTAAAAATCACAAACCATAAGGAATACAGTGATATATTTGATGATGATGTGCTTGTTATTTGGTGCCGTTGAGTTGGTTCTTACTTGTAGTGATCCTATGTACAACAGAACGAAATACTGCCCACTCCTGTGCCATGCTTACAGTCGTTGCCATGTTTGAGCTCATTGCTGCAGTCACTGTGTCAGTCCATCTCGTTGAGGGTCTTTCTCTTTTTCACTAATCCTTTACTTTACCGAGCATGATGTCCTTGTCCAGGGACTGCTCCCTCCTGATAACGTGATCAAAGTACATAAGATGACATCTTGCCATCTTTGCTTCTAAGGAGCATTCTGGCTGTACTTCTTCCGAGACAGATTTGTTCATTCTTCCGGAGGTCCATGGTATATTCAGTATTCTTTGCCAACACCGTAATTCGAAAGCATCAGTTCTTCTTTAGTGTTCCTATTCATTGTCCAGCTTTCACATGCATGTGAGGTGATTGAAAACACCGCGGCTTGGATTAGGCACACATTAGTCCTCAAAGTGACATCTTTATTTTTTAACACTTTAAAGAGGTCTTTTGCAGCACATTTGCCCAATGCAATACATCATTTGATTTCTTGACTGCTGCTTCCATGAGCATTGATTGTGAAGCGAAGTAAAATGAAGTCCTTGACAATTTCACTCTTTTCTCCTTTTATCATGATGTTGCTTATTGGTCCAGCTGTGAGAATTTTTGTTTTCTTTACATTGAGGTGTAATTCCTACTGAAGGCTGAAGTCTTTGATCTTCCTCAGTAAGTGCTTCAAGTCCTCTTTGCTTTCAGCAACAAGGTTGTGTCATCTGCGTATCGCAGGTTGTTAATGAGTCTTTCTCCAATCCTGATGTCATGTTCTTCTTCGTATAATCCCGCTTCTTGGATTATTTGCTCAGCATACAGATTGAATAAGTATGGCAAAAGGATACAACCCTGAAACACACCTTTCCTGATTTTAAACCAGGCAGCATATCCTTCTTCTGTTTGAATGACTGCCTCTTGGTCTCTGTACAGGTTCTTTATGAGCACAATTAAGTGATCTGGAATTCCCATTATTTGCAGTGGTATCCATAATTTGTTATGGTATGCCTTTGCATAGTCAATTAAACATGGGTAAACATCCTTTTGTTATTCTCTGCTTTTAGCCAAGGCCCGTCTGACATCAGCAGTGATATCCCGTGTTTCATGTCTTCTTCTGAATCTGCCTTGAGTTTCTGGCAGTTCCCTGTTGATGTATGAATGCAATCATTTTTTAATTATCTTTAGCAAAATTTGACTTGTGTGTGATGTTAATTATATTGTTCAATAATTTCCACATTCTGTTGGATCACCTTTTCTTGGGAATAGGCATAAGTATGGATCTCTTCCAGTCAGTTGGCCAGGTAGCTGTCTTCCAAATTTCTTGGCATAGATGAGTGAGTGCTTCCAGGGTAACATGTATTTGTTGAAACATCTCAATTGGTATTCCATCAATTCCTGGAGCCTTGTTTTTTTCTAATGCCTTCAGTGTAGCTTGGATGTCTTCCTTCAGTACCATCAGTTCTTGATTGTAGTCTACCTCCTGAGATGGTTGAATGTCCACCAATTCTTTTTGACACTGTGACTCTGTATTCTTTCCATCTTCTTTGATACTTTCTGCATCGTTCAATATTTTGCCCATAGAATCCTTCAGTATTGCAACTTGAGGCTTGAATTTGTTCTTCAGTTCTTTTCAGCTTGAGAAATGCAGAGCGTGTTCTTCCCTTTTGGTTTTCCATTTCCAGGTCTTTGCACATTTCATTATAATACTTTACTTTGTCTTCTTGAGCCACCCTTTGAAATTCCTGTTCAACTCTTTTACTTCATCATTTCTTCCATTTGCTTTAGTTACTCGACATTCAGGAGCAAGTTTCAGAGTCTCTTCTGACATCCATTTTTGTCTTTTCTTTCTTTCTTGTCTTTTTAATGACCTCTTGATTTCTTCATGTATGATGTCCTTGGTGTCATTCCACAACTCATCTGGTCTTTGGTCATTAATATTCAGTGTGTCAAATCTGTTCTTTAGATGGTCTCTAAATTCAGGTGGGATATACTCAAGGTTGTACTTTGGCTCTTGTGGACTTGTTTTAATTTTCTTCAGCTTCAACTTGAACTGGCATATGAGCAGTTGATGGTCAGTTCTGCAGTCAGTCCTTGGCCTTGTTTTGACTGATGATATAAAGCTTTTCCATTGCCTCTTTCCACAGATGTAGTTGATTTGATTCCTGTGTATTCCATCTGAGGAGGTCCACATGTATAGTTGCTGGATGGAATATGTTTGAAAAAAGGTATTTGCAGTAAATAAGTTGTTGGTCTTGCAAAATTCTATCATGCGATCTCTGGCCTCATTTCTATCACGAAGACCATATTTTCCAGCTATAGATCGTTCTTTGTTTCCAGTTTTGTGTTCCAATCACCAGTGATTATCAGTGTATCTTGATTGCATATTTGGTCAATTTCAGACTGCAGAAGTTGGTAAAAATCTTCAATTTCTTCGTCTTTGGCCTTAGAGGTTGGTGCGTTAAATTTGAATAATAGTTGTATTAACTGATTTTCCTTGTGGGCTTATGAATATTATCCTATTGCTGACAGCATTGTATTTCAGGATAGATCTTGAAAAGTTCATTTTGATGATGAATGTGATGCCATTCCTGTTCAGTTTGTCATTTCTGGCATAGTAGACCATATGATTGTTCAACTCAAAATGGCCAGTACCAGTCCATTTCAGTTTACCAGTGCCCAGGATATCAATCTTTATGGGTGCCATTTCATTTTAGATGACTTCCAGTTTTCCTAGATTCATACTTTGTACATTCCATGTTCCAGTTATTAATGAGTGTTTGCAGCTGTTTCTCTCATTTTGAGTCATGCTACATGAGCAAATGAAGGCACCGAAAGCTTTACTCCATCAACACCATTAAAGTTGACCCTACTTTGAAGAGGCAGCTCTTTCCCAGTTGTATTTTGAATGCCTTCCAACCTGAGGGACTCATTTTCCGGCACTATACTAGACAATGTTCTGCTGCTATTCGTAGGGTTTTCACTGGCTAATTGTTTTGGAAGTAGATTGCCTCGTCCTTCTTCTTGTCTGTCTTAGTCTGGAAGCTCCACTGAAACCTGTGGTGGCTTGTGTGTTGCTGTGATGCTGGAACCTATGCTAATAGTATTTTAAATACCAGCAGGGTCACCCATGGCATTTATTTGATGATATCGATAATATAAATGTCTGTACAATCTAGATAAATTTTAGGAGACAAGCAGCATTATGAAAGTTGATATTTGCAATGTATAACAAAAATTGGTATTCATAATATGTGAAGAATTTCTATGAAGCAGTGAGAAAAAGATAAACAACCTAATTGAAAAATAGTCAAAAGATATAAACAGGCAACTCACAGAAGAGATTCTGAATAATACTTGTAGTCAGAGAAATAAGTGCAAATTTAAAAGATACCATTTCATTCCCATTAGTCAAATTGGGAGTAATTAAAATGTCTGCCAGTATCAAGTGTTAGCAGAGATGTAGGAAACGGAAGCATTTATACACTGTGAGTTGGAGTGCTATTATTGCAGCCACTTAAGAGGACAAGTTGACATTTTCTAGCAAAATTGAAAATACATATATATTATAACTCAGCGAATCCTTGAGTGGAACAAATAGTTTGTTTTCGGCTACTAACCTAAAGGTTGGCTCTTCAAACACACCCATTAGTGCCATGGAGGAAAGGTCTGGTGATCTGCTTCTGTAACAATTATAGCCAAGAAAACCCTATGGAACAGTTCTACTCTGTAACACATGAGGTCACTATGAGTCAGAATTGACTTGACAGCAACAGGTTTGGTTTTGTCGTTGTTGTTCTGTTTCTGTGTATACGCCCTAGAGAAACTCTACTATATACATACACTCAAACATGTATGGGAATCGTCTTTGAAGGATTGTATCTCATTGTATCTAATAGTGCAGAACTAGAAAGAACCTAGTAGCCTATCAACAGAGGGACAAATACATAAAATGTGGCATATTTTCTATGAGGTACCAAACATCAATTAAAGTTAACAAATTAAATCCATAAGTTTCAACATGGCTAGATCTCAAAAAAATCGGTGAAAAAAGCAAGTTGTAGGATTATATACAGAGTTTGAAATGATTTATGTAAATATTTAAAATTCGCAATGCAGTGCTGTGTATTATTTAAAGATACTTGTAAATTTGATAAAAGTAAAGACACACGAGCTGGAAGGATTCACTGGAAGGCAACACCAGTGATAGCCTCTGGAGAGAGAGAATGAGACTAGGGACGTTTAAAGGAGATTTTAACTTTTAAATCATGTTTTAGTTATTTTGTTTTAAAAAGTTGAAGTCAATATGAATAAGTCTAAGTGTTTATTAATCCTCAGTGACAGGTACATGGATATTTTATTCTGTACATTTTTTTTTGCAGTTTAAAAAACTTTCCAAATTACAAGTATGGTGACCCATACTTTTGCTTGTTTTTATTACTCTTCACTTTACAACCTCATAGCATTTACAAAGCACATTGTAAAAACACAAGCAGGATTTACTTCTGTCTTGCTCAAAGTTAAGTGTCCCACAGGTATTGGTGCATGACTTTCCCTCTCACTGACATAATCAGTGATGAGGAAATAGGCAACCCTACAAAGTTAAGGATGTCTGAAGGAATGATCAGCAGACTTAGAAATTGCTTCAGATGAAATCTCTACTCCAGTGATGGATTAATTCTTTAGTTTTAATAAATATATTTACAAAAGTAAACGTGTATATGTTAAACTATGAAAAAATAATAGTATTGTGTGAATGTAATATTTTTTCTCTTTTTTTTTTTTTAAGGTATCTACGAATATTCCAAAATGTGGACCTATCTAGCAATTTTTACTTTAGGTAAGTTGGAGCTTAGTTTTGTTCCTGTCAATCACTTAAATTTTCATATTATTTTCCAGAGGATAAAAACAGAATCAGAGGACATGGTAGTTCTCCTCTGTTTTTTTTTTTTTTTTAAATAGCCAAATTATTTCATCCAAAAGTATAAAAGTGCAGATGTTTCCTCCTCTTAAAAATCTGACATTTGAAAATCCAGATGTTAAATTAAAGGGTAAGTATTCTTTCTATAAAAATCATCTTTGTTTTAGGTATTTAATATAGTTTAAAGAAACATTCTCATATTGTAGTTATGAATTATACAAGTTAAATTTATACCAGGCCTCTAATATAGAGTTGTGATAGGTTCATAGTTCATTTTCCAGCTAATAATCTATAAAACTTAGGTAAAAGTAAATTCAAAATAGGAAGGATTATTGCAATACCAAAATATTGCTGGTGGCATTATAAATATAATAGTTTTTCTGGAGAGAAATATAGCATTAAATATATATGGAAATATATCCTAAGAAAATAAATCAGTAGAGAAAATATTCATCCCTATTTGTTAAGAAACATTCATAGTTTCTCTATTTATGATAGCCCAGACAAACAAATCTACCTACCCAGAGGCAGCCCAAGTACCAATAACTGAGGAATGGGCAAGTAAATTATGGTACAGCATCGTGATACGGTGTTATACCACCATTAATGAGACCATTATGTGGACTTGGTAGATACAGTGTTAGTGTGATAAATGGAAAATTCTGTTAGCTAAAATGTCCATACTGAAAAATAGAACACAAAATAGAATGTACAAATAAGGACTTGAGTCCTAGGACTGAAAGAAAGACTAGAGGGTTTATAGATATTGGTGGTTTATACTGAAGGGGTACGTTGCATTTTTCTTATTTCTTCTTTTTTTTTAAATTGTTAATATAGCTAACTATTTCTTAACCTGTGGAGAACATGTCTATTATGTAGAATGGATTATGTCTTCATTGATGCAAAACTGAAGGAAGTTAATTATTTTAACTACAGTGAAGGGCTCCTAACTAAATAATTTTCATCTCCACAATTGTTTATTGAATGCATACTTCCATTTTATTTGTCTTATCACCTGCTTTTGGGCCTTTATTGCTTAATTTTATGTTTACAGCATTTGTTGAGTTATTACTGATGCTTGGCAGTACTGTTAGAAATGGTCTCTGCTTTGTATTTCTCAACTTCTTCTCCATCCCCATACTGAGTTCTGATCGAATCATTCCATAAGTAAAAATATGTAGGTTAGTTTTTGTGTCTCTTAAATAGCCTTTTGAAAAGGTTACTACATTCGTAAGACTCAGCTGGAAAACACTATTTGTTTTAGGTAGATTGTTAAAAGTCAAAAACCAACTCTTACTGTAGAAATGTATATATTATATGTTATATACTTTATTCCTATGAGATTAGATGCTATTAAAATGAATGAATTCATCAAGCAAATGTGGTAAAATTGAATTCCACAGATGAAACAGAAAATTAATTTCAATCAAATTGTAAGAATAAATTGAAGAAATAATCAAAATAATGTATGTGATTCTCCAGGCAGAACTGTAACTGTCATCTTCAAAATATGCCTAAAATACTTTAAATACAAACTTGCATATATACTAAAGAATTCTAGATACTTTCTGAAATTCCATGTCAATAATGTATAGCTAGAGCTGTGTATAAAAAGATTATTATGTGAAATGAGAATTACAAAGGGTTTCTTTTAGCCCAAAAGACTAAATTTTATTTGCAGAGAGACCATTATAGTTTTTTGAATGGCCTTTACTCTCCTAAAATGTGTTTCTCTGTAATGACTTACGTTATTTGTTTATTTCTGTTTTATCACAAAGTCAATTATAATACCATCGTTAATAGTTAATAGAATTATTTTTGTTCATAGGTAAACTGGAATACAGAAACTTTCTCTCTTGCAATGGATATTGTAGCACCTACAGATCCCCCATTCAGATACCCATGAGAGCGTGTCTCCTTTCTACCAGTCAATTTAGATTGACTCAGAGTGAATCAAGAAATGCACGTTGTACAAATCAATGACTATATTTCTAGATGTACAAATGCTTAAGTCATGCAATGAGTTTTTCTGTTTCCACTTATGCTCATTTTTTGCTATGTTTTACAGTACTCATTTGAACAGCATTGCTTCCAAGTAACAGGTGCTAGTAATTTAGTTCACAAATTTTAATTCTGTATGGGAGCCAAGGCTGTGAAATATGCTTTGCTTTTATAATTCTTACTAAGTTTCAGTTCTGTTCTCAGTTACAGCTATGATTTGTCCCACTCTCTTCAGTATAATCTCACTGTCTTGCGAATGCCCCTGGAGATGTTAAAGTCAGAAACAACCCAGGCTCCCCAGGCTCGCCAGGAGAGCTTTGACATCTTTGAAGATGAAGGATTAATTACACAGGGTGGAAGCGGTAGGTGGTTTTCAGCATATTAATGTATGTTAATGTGGTATCGATGAAGTGGCTTCTTATTAAATGCACTTACATTTTCCTCATATTTTCCATTGCTCATTGCTCTTTGTCTTTACATGGGTTGTTTCTGATACATGAACTTGACCAATTCATTTTTATAGAGATCATTAATCGTCATGTGATTTCATTTGTAGGCTAGTCAGAAAATTGTATGCTGACATCTTCTAGCAATTATTCATGCACTTTTTATGGAATACATTTAGGTCTAGACTTTTGGAGAAGTTTAAATAGAGAATTGTTTTTTGAATACTGGAGAATACACACCATTTTATTTTCTTTCATAGAGACCAGTTCAGTATGGACTGTTTTGGAAGAAAGCTACCATTGGTTGTCTGTTGTGTGCTAGACACTTACATATAATATTTCTAATCTTCACAAAAACTCTGCTCAGTAGGTATAATGCCAGTTTTGTAGAAATAAAGACTCAGTAGGAAACTGAGGCCTAGAGATTAAATATCCTGCCCAAGATCACATGGCTAGTGTCCAGAAGAACCAGTGTAGCAAGTAGGAGGCTGTTCTTCCTTTGATAGTTCCAGCTGGCCCACTGGCCCCTCCTGGGCCCTGCTTCTATCAAGACCACTGTAGGATCACTGCAGGACCACTACGTAACTAGTCCAGGTGACCCCGGGGATGCTGGACTAACCAATCACAGAACAGAACCTACACCTTTACCCTGGATTCTTGGAATGATCTAGAACTCTAAAGCCAGAGACATTGCTAATGAAAATGTTGTGAGGGAATAATTTCAAACTTAAAGTTAAGGCAGTTTCACGGAATTGGACTGACTATGGAAATATAAGCAAGAAGTGCCTTTGGGTGCCTTTCTCTATGCCACTTAAATGATAGAGATAGATATGTGTGTGCAAAGGTAGACTCCAATCTAAAGTGTCCCCAGAGGGTTTGTCCTTGCAGGACCGCCAAGAAGAAGCTGTGATCTGTTGCACTGCCAAAGGCTCTGGTCCTCTCAAAGACGGCTGAGGTCGTTACTTAAACTGAATGTCATACCTGGTATTGCCCTTGACTCTTGTTAGTTTATTTGATTGAATGTCGCTGGCGTTAAGACCAAACCCAGTGTGGCTCCTCCAGTGCATCGTCTAGACCACATAAATTTGCCCTGGATCAGATACCTCAATTGTAACCCATACCACTAGAGACATGTGTAGGACAAGATAATGTGTACCTGTATATTTACGTGTACTACTTCTGAATATCACACTTAGTGATATTAAAGCCAAAAGTATCACTAAATTTGTGTTACGTCTCATCCAAAATCTGGATTTGGGTGTTTGTTCTGGTATCTGAATTGAGCCTGTGAAGCCACTTAATTTTTTTTTGTTGTTGTTGTTGTTACCTTTAGAGCAAGTCTGCTTGATAAATATGAATGATGGGGGAGACTGATAGGAAACAGAGAGTGACGGTAGAAGGTGTGGAAGTAGGTAGAAAAGGAAAATAATACCTTTTTTTAAAGTCTATACTATATGTCAGGCAGTGTACTAGGCACTTTACATGTATTATTTAATCTGAACAATGTCTATGAGGTGAGTAGTAGTATCATTTTACAGTTGAGAAAATGAAGGTTCAGAGATGTTAAGTAACTCTCCCAAGGTCACAGAGCTGGTAAGTTCAAAGACAGGACTCCAACCCATGTTAGTATTTATTATTCATGCTCTTATGCAACATACTAAGAGGGCAGAGAAGGTTTAGTGTTTATGAATCAAGCAAAAGTGTATTTATCATAGTATATAAATACTCTTAAGGAAATTAACAGATTATGTTTTGGGGAGAAAATCGGTGCTGATTGCCTGCTATCGAGAAACTGTCACAGTTATTTAAACCATTGCCTTATAAATATACCTCTTATTTTAAACTTCATACAAGTTCAGTAGAACTCATTTGTTAATAAATTCATCTATGTGTGCTGAAATCATGTTTGATGAAATTAATACCTTGTGTAGCAGAATCCTGATATAATAACAGTTACCACTTATGGAAGCATTCTTAGTGCACTAGGCATGCTCTAAGCACTTATGTGCATTATGAACTCATTTCATCCTTACAACAACCACATGAAATAAGTACGGGTGAGGTAACGGAGGCACAGAGATAGTGAGTAACACTGCCGACCATGTAGTCTCTCTTCTGAGCCAGGGTTTGGACCCAGGCACTCTGACTCCAGAGCTGTGTTCTCAACCACTACTCTGTATTGTCTTTCAGCTTTACTAATATATTTGTTCATGTGTTCTTAATGTCCCCATCATTTTCTCTTCTCTTAAGTTAAAAACTCTCACTAGTCAGAAAATGTGCTTATTCTTTGACTTTGTACAGAATCAGCACTGTGTTCTGGATGAGGATATCAATGATACCTCCTAAAAATGGCATTGTATTTTGAAGTTAAAAACTGAAGTTGAAGAACTTAGAAATGATTTGAATTTCAACTAATTGCCTTATGTTTCTGATACCAACTTTTATTTTTCAGGTGTATTTGGGATCTGTAGTGAGCCTTACATGAAGTATGTGTGGAACGGTGAACTTCTGGAAATAATTAAAAATACTGTGCATCGTGACTGGCTGTTGTATATTATTCATGGGTTCTGTGGACAGTCAAGTATCCTTTTTTAAAAAACAATTAAGATATATATTACATATTATTAAATGTATGCTGTGCCAATTTGTAGATAGCTATATATGAATTATAAGATTGTAATTATTACTCTATGCACCCGAACAGGAAAACTTACCCATAGTCCTATTATCTTAGTTATCTAGTGCTGCTATAACAGAAATACAATAAATGAGTGGCTTTAACAAACAGGAATTTATTTTCTCACAGTTTAGGAGGCTAGAAGTGCAAATTCAGAGTGCTGGCTCTAGGGGAATGCTTTCTTTCTCTGTTGCCTCTGGGGTAAGTTCCTTTTCTCTTTGAGCATCAGCTCCTGGGTGATCTTCATGTGGCTTGTCATCCTTCTTCCCCGTCTCTGCTTCTTTCACTTGCTTGTTTAATCTCCTTTATATCACAAAAGAGATTAACTCAAGACACACCCTACACTAATCCTGCCTCATTAGCATAACAAAGACAACTCATTCCCAAATGGGATTATAACCACAGGCATAGAGGTTAGGATTTACAACACATATTTTTGGGAGACACAGTTCAATCCATAACACCCGTGTAGTGGAAATACAAAGAGGAATGCAGACTACCTGAACAGACCTGTTATATACACAGAAAGAGCAATAAAGAACAAGGAAGAAAATGCTGTGTGCACAGTAGGTGGTGTAGGTAGTAAGAATCATAGGAGTTGAGAGGAGGGGCAGTATCATTGACAGATCCGGGAGGATGGGGCAGGCTCATGGGAAAAGTAGAACTTGGGCCCTGAACAAAGGCCAGGTCTTAGAGCAGTGAGCAGGGAGAGGTATCATGGGTCAGGAAGCACCATCAGTGTAGAAGTGGAAAAGTATATGGGAATGTTCTCATGGTTAGCTTGTAAAACTACTAGGATATATGATGTAGCAGGAGGGAGATTAGTAGGTGGGAATCAGATTGCCAGTCAACAGATTGCCTATGTGGTCAGGCTAAGGACTTTGAATTTGGTGCTAAAATAATCATAAACTTCTTTCAGTATTTGTTCAGGAGGCTGACATATGCAAAATAGTATTTAGGAAGCTTAAGCTGACAGCTATTTTTAAGCTGAATTAAGTTAAATGATACAAGAAGGCCTGGATTTGAAGGGGGCATAACAGATAATGTAGAGGTAGTGTTAAGGAGCCCTGGTCGTGCAAATGGTTAAGCGCTCAGCTGCTAACCAAAAGGTGGGTGGGTCAGACCCACCCAGCGACTCCTTGGGAGAAAGACCTGGTGATCTGCTCCTGTAAAGATTATAGCCAAGAAAACTCTGTGGGGCAGTTCTGCTCTGTCACAAGAGATCACTGTGAGTCGGCATCTACTTGATTGCACACAACGCCAGTGTTAAGCAGTGGGTAAGGTGATGAATTCAATTTTAAGATTTTTTTTTTTCTTTCACAGGCTCATCTTCCATTTAATTTCTAGCTATGTTGAGAACCTTCCAAGAAAGTGCTATTATGTTATGAGGTTTAGGAATACAGTGCATACTTTGTAGAAGTGGTGATTAGGTTTCTCTTACCACTTTTTGAGATCAAGTAGGGCATTTGTGCAGCCAACATGTTTCCTAGTTGACATTCTTCCTTGTGTCTTAGGCTTTTGAAAGACCTAGTGAAAACTTTAAAGAAAGGATTGTTTTAAAACCATTTAGTGGGCGAATGTGACTAACTGTTCTTATGCTTTTTTGTGCCAGAACATTTGGAAGGAGTGGGATCAAGGGGCACAGAATGAGAGGTTAGCTTTGAAGAGGGGCAGCAGTGTCTTCTCTGTGGCAAGTGAAGGAGAGGCGTGTCTAGATGAAGACAGAGAAATTTTGAAAAGAAGATGAGTGAGATTATGTGCTACACTTGAAAATCAGGGTCATTACTTTATATAGGCAGTCCCCGATTACAAACAAGTTTTGTTCCTAAATCTGTCTTTAAGTCAAATTTCTATGTAAGTGGAGAGTTAGGTATGGTTCATATCTAATGTCGGTTAGTCAAATGTTTGTAGTATAACTTTCTATGCATAAAAAAGAAACACTTCCAGATACGCTAAAACATCTTTAACATAGTGATACAGTAACAATAATAATGTTTTGATGTACATCACGAAGTAGCACCTGTTTGTTATCACAAACCACTGTATGTACCTCGAATGTTTACTGTAACAGGCTTTATGGGGGTTGGTTTGTAAATACGGGTTGTACATAAATCAGAAGTTTGTAACCCGGGAACTGCCTGTAATCATTTTCAACCAGTTGAGTGGGATCATCTACTTGATCATTCACTGAATGATAATGAGATTTGGCCCTAAATTACTTTTGTTTGTTTCCAAATGTAAAATCTACTGGGAAGAACACAGGTTTTCACCACCAAGGACACCAAAAAGAATGTGCTACAGTTGCTAAAGGCAGTTCCTAAAAGGTGCTTCTAAACTGTTTTTATATTTCCAGAGCTAGCTTAGGGCTTGCATATCTTAAGGACAATAAATGTTTGTTTTTTTAAATAGTGAACAGCATCATAGATTATAATTTTAAAGCTCATTAATTTAAATAATGAATCTAGTCTCCTCATCATCAAGCATCTAATGAATTCTGGAAGTCTATATGATGATAAAAGTCATTGCTATTTAGTGAACATTTACTAAGCCAGCACTAGAAGTTTTACACACAGTATTTCATTTAGTCCAGCACCTAATGAAGTGTTATTTTACTATTGTTTACTCCATTTTACAAAAGATAAAACTGAGGATCAGAAAGTTAAATGCGGTAACATAACTAATAAGCTGCATGTTGGTCAGGCAGTTCATGATAGTCCACTCAGTGTTAAGGTTTTGCAGTTTGGTCTGCTTTTACTGTATTGTACTCATTTTATTCCCTCAAAATTATATATTGCTTCATAATGTAAACATTCAATTGAATGATATGTACTCTCTTTGAGAGGTTTATGATCTCTGAAGACTGAGAAAGGATTAGTTGAACCTGTTCACATCCTTTACTTGGCTGTGAGGAAGTACCAGGTTTTCCCTAGGCTAGTCACCCTACACCTGGTTACTATTTCCTCTGAAATTCATAGAAACCATTCCTTAGGCAGGGTCGATTTTTGCTCTTACGCCTGTACAGTTCTGAAGAACAGCTAGAACCAGTGCTGTTCCTTTCTTGGATGGAGCTTTTAGTTGTTCTTTAGCCCATGGTATAAGATGTATTTAAATATGTATTTAAGGTATTATGATCTGGTGTGACAGTCATGAATGCTAAACCACTTTAACTTGATTTCTAAGAGCTGTTGATCTATGGACGACCAGTGTATGTCACCCTAATAGCTAGAAGATCCAGTAAGTTTGCTGGGACCCGTTTTCTAAAGAGAGGTGCAAACTGTGAGGTAAGATGAAAAACAGCAGTACTCTTGGCATTTTATCCTTTAGTATCAGCTTTGCTGGCATAGATGAAGCAAACTGGAATTTTAAAAAGTGGGATTTCTTAGTTTTGGACATTATCAAGAGAATAATTAATTCCCTGGGGTATCTGAAACTTGTGAGAAATATGAGTAATATACAGATATTCGAAAAATCAGCTATCTTAGTGAGTTATGCAATGCTGTAGGGAGTTATGGAATGTCTAATGTTTTGGAGGATGAGCTGTTTCTGTAATATATGGAAGAATATAGTACATTTTTAATGTGGAGATGAAGATAGCAAACCACCTCCACCCAAGGAATAAGTGGAGCTCAGCACTTATTGGAAGCACATCGTTGACGAGAAGACTAAGAGCAAAGTGCCAGAAACCTTTTGCCCTCTTGCCCTTTCTTTAGCTTATCTCGAGACAGACTCCTTATGCTGTTCACTACTAAAAAATAACAACAAATATTCATCTACTCTGCCATCATTCACATAATCTCCTTTGAGTGCCCTGACTCTGTTTGTGATAGACAACTTGAGTCTTAAGCAGGTGTGTGATTGAGTAGACAGATAAAATGAGATTTTGATCCTGGCTTAAAATAGCAAAATTGTTCTTAAAATTACAAACAATGAAAATAGTTATAACTGGTACTGTAAGAAGAAATTAGAATTTTGCAGCTATATTATTACATCTGAATATTCAGAAAATAAACAAATGTTATTAATGGCTCTGATATTATACTTTCTCATATCCTTATATGCTTTTCAAACTACTTCAAGCACTGCCCCCCCCCCCCCGCTTTTTTTCTTCTGTCCATCAGGCATTATTTGAGTCTTTTTTTTTGTCCTTTTCATTTCTCCTTGGTCTTCAGAATTGAATTTTGGTATTCTGCTGGTCTTCCTAACTTCCCATATGAGTTCATGTGTTTGTATTTCTTTTCTCTCCCTCCCCACCATTTATATCACTAAAGCTGTTCTCTTGTATCACTAGTACAGATAATACCACTTGTATTATTAGCTTGTTCATTCTCTGCTATTTTTAATTGCCTTCCTTTATTGCATTTTAATGGTTTTGCTTTACTTACATGCACATTGAATACTGATCAACATTTACGTCTTTCAGGACATTCTAAGGATAGGAATTAAGTTTCATTGTGTACTTGAATTTTTTTTTCCATTAAGAAAATTCTAAAAACATAAAATAGTAACTTTAAATGCATGTTTCTTTTCAGGGTGATGTTGCAAATGAAGTGGAGACTGAGCAAATACTCTGCGATGCTTCTGTGATGTCTTTTACTGCAGGAAGTTATTCTTCTTATGTACAAGTTAGAGGATCAGTTCCTTTATACTGGTCTCAGGACATTTCAACCATGATGCCTAAACCTCCTATTACTTGTACGTGGAACAATCTTTTTAATAGTAATTCTTCTTTACCCATATTTAGAGATAATGAACTATTGTCACAGAAATCTCACAAATGATTAGGTTTCACTGAGTTTTTAGTATTGGAAGATAGATAATTTAGAAGGACTTCTTCTATTTTTATGCAATAATGTTAAATTTTTCTTTAATTTTGACTGTTACTAAATTATTTGTATTTCACATCAGAAATGTAAGAATCATTCAGATTCAGTAAATATGTGATGAATGAGTGCCCGATGAGCTCCTTTGAGAGGGATTTGGGAAGTGAAACTATCTGAAGATTAGTTGATTTCTATTTCTTTAAACATCAAACAAACCAACAAACAAAAACCCCAACACTACTTTTGTTGCTGCTTTCTAATTTTCATCCTGGTATTTATTCATCCTTTCTTCTTCCTCAGTGGATCAGGCAGATCCATTTGCACATGTGGCTGCCCTTCACTTTGACCAGATGCTTCAGAGGTTTGGCTCCCCCATCATCATCTTGAATTTAGTGAAGGTACGATATACTTTTGTTATGAAATTCAAACACACTGGGCAACCTTTTTCCTCAGCACTAACCAAAAGGTTGGCAGTTCAAATCTACCCAATAGCTCTGTGGGAGAAAGATCTGATGATCTGCTTCCGTAAAGATTACTGCCAAGAAAACACGATCGGGCATTTCTATTCTGTCATATGGGATTACTGTGAGTCAAAAATTGTCTTGATAGCACCTAACAACAACAACAAAGGGAATTAATAAGCTGTGCTCTACCTCTCTCCAGAGGCGAGACTTGGAGATTTTTCCGCTGTAGTGGCTCACTATGTCTGAGCTGTCTGAGCCTGTCCTTTGGCCTCAGATCCCACGTTGCCTCTTCCCAGGGTAGCTAGGAGGATCAGTGGTATGTTTCCAAGGGAAGAGTGTGATGCAGTGTGTCCAGCTCTTGATTTCCATATGTGAACTAGGTATGGGTAAAATTTCTGCCTTAGTTTGCAGGACAACTTGAAGAAGGAAGCAGGGAGATCAAGCTAGCCTTGGTATAGCCTTCTCCCTTGACAATCCGTAAGATCTCTTTCTGGGCAAATCAATATGTACTAATAGGATCTCTAGGTAACATAGTGGTTAAGAGCTAAGGCTGCTAACCAAAAGGTTGGCAGTTCAAATCCACCAGGTGCTTCTTGGAAACCCTGTGGGGCAGTTCTGCTGTGTCCTATAGGGTCACTATGAGTTGGAATGGACTCGACGGCAATGGGTTTTTTTGGTAGGGCAGACTCAGAAAGTGGGATACTGTAGTGGCTCCAGAATGACGTAGGTTTGTGAGAAGCCCAGACAAGGTGGTAGCATTGGTCTCATAGCTCCCTGCTACCTTGCCAAGGTACACTGACAGGTCAACATGTCTTGTGGGAATGAGGAGGCACCCAGGCCAAAGGCCTGTGATGGAGGGCAGGGAAACTAGACAGTAAATTTCATCTGCGTCTCTTGTAGCCAAATGAATTGAAAGGATCTAAGTCAGCAACCAAGGAGACCCGGAGAGTATAAAAAGTGATGGTTTTGTTATGTTATGATTTTGTGGTAGCCAATGGCGTAGTAGTGTCTTGAGGTTATTCTGAGAGATTGGTTAATAATTATAACTCAGTATAATTAAAGACCAAGGAATCCTGTGTCCATTTAGTCAGTCGTTTCACGAGTAATTTTGAGAGTTTCCTATGTGCCGAGCAATATGGAATGGTTCTTTCCTTCATGGAGCTAACAGTCTAATGGAGGAGATAGTGAAATAAAGGCAGAGGCACCAAGCCAGGGTAAATGGTGCTGTGAGAGCTTATGATGGGAGAGAAGTCTTCCCAGAGGAAGTTTACACCTGAAGGAAGAGGTGTTAACTAGGCCAAGAGGAAAGTGAATGGTGTTCAACTCAGAGATAACAGCATGTACAAAGGCCTTGAGACAGGAAAGGGTGTAGTGAGTTTGAAGAAAAGAAGGCAAGCCTGTGTGGCTGTGGCCCACAGGGTGAGGGCAAGAGAGTCTGTTGTGAGATGAGGCTGAAGATATAGTTATGGCCTGGCCATGCAGGACCTTGCAGGCTGTGGTAATAAGTTTGGCCTCTATCCTGAGAGCACTTGAAAGCTGTTGAAGAGTTTTACACAGTTGAGAGGATCATGATCAGATTTATGTTTTGAAAGAACTAGGCTGACCTCAACCAAGGGAACTAATGGACTGGTACAGGGCTAAAGTCAATGCTAAAAAACCGGATTTAAAAAAAAAAACAAACCAGTTGCTATTGAGTCAGTGCTGACTGACAGCAAGCCCATGTTTTTCAGAGTAGACTTGCCCGCCACAGGGTTTTTAATGGCTCTGATCTTTCAGAAGTAGATCATTTGACCTTTCTGTTGAGGTGCCTGTAAGTGGATTCGAACCTCCAACCTTTTGGTTAGCAGCCAAGCTTGTTAACCATTTGTACCACCCAGGGACTCCATGTAACTAAATACACAGGCTTAATGGAGCAGGGCGTGTGCATGTGTGTGTGTGTGTGTGTGTGTGTGTAATCAAGAGTATGGAGGAATATGACCTGAGCAGGGCCTGTGTGTCTGTGTGTGTGTCTGTGTGTGTGTAAGTGTGTGTAATCAAGAGTATGGAGGAATATGACCTGAAAGTGTCGATGGAGAGACCAGGGAGGCAATCTGCTCTATTTCTCCTTTTTTGCTCTTTGATTTATGGGATTGTCTCTTGCCAGGAGTTGACTTTGTAAAATATATTATTCAGATAGTAAATACATCCTTTTCTAGACTTTTATTCACATTAATTCAGAGGTTTCATAGTCTCTTCTCTCTCCTTGCCCACTCAGAATAAGGTAAGGCAATAGCTGAATAATTTGTAACTTTAGTCTAGTATTGAACAGTAGCTATAATGTACATAGTTGAAAAATTAAAGTAGGAAAACTTTAATATTAAAAATACTCATGAATACTTTTTGAGTAAGTATATAGAAAATAAGGTATTGTTTGTATAGAAATAAATGATTGTTAAAACATTAAATTACAAGGCATCACTAGGGCATAAATCTATACCTAAATTAGTGGTTCTTGTTCATGTTTTACGGAGTCCTTATGGTGTAGTTGAAAAGCTATGGTTAAATGGAGATTCAGGTCTCCGACGCTTGAGATAATTCTCTACTAATTGTGCAGATTCAAACAATAATATCTGATACATGTGACTATAGAGTGTTTTTCCCCAGATTTCTCACATGTATATTTATTTTTGAGTATTTAAAGGGCAGTAGATTTTAAAACTGTACTTGCATATTATTCCACTGGAATAAAAAACCTGACAATAACTAGAGATTAATTAGAGAATAACTTGGGGATTAAGTTGTTGTTTAGGTATAGAAAAAAAATTGTCATTTTTGTCATTGGTTATTTTATTCAAAAGATAAAAGAAGATGTTTATTCAGTTCACTGGAAGAAGACCTTCTTAACCTGTGATTAAAGAGTCAAAGAATGCAAGTGTTTATGGAATAATACTGAGTGATATTTAGTCACTATTCTACCACCATCTGAAGTTACTAAAGTGAAATACTTTATTTTTTTCTCTTCCACCCTATGTTGTAAACCCCGCCCCTACCCCCACCCCCACCCCACTTGTGGAAGTTTGAGGCACAGGTTCACATTTTGCAGCAATCCATACACCTCCAGTGGGCTACTAGGTATCAACAGGAAGTCAGCTTGGGGCCCAGCATAAGCTGTCCATCAAAAGGTTTATAACTTAAGGGGCCATGAATGGCCTTTGGTGGGGGTGGGGGCGGTCTCTGAACCATTTGAAGCTGTATGCAAATCACTTTTTCATTTGGTTGTTAAAGGGGTCTGTGACCCTAAGGAGGTTAACTGCTAAACAGCTCGCTTACACTAATCTACTGCGGACAACACGCAAAGTAGATTATTTACATAGAAATGACCGAAGGTGGATTAAATAGTCTTTCCTCTCCAGCTCATAAATGTAGATTTGATATGAGAATTTCAAAACAGTTATGTTAAGAATACCTTCCCTAGTTGATATAAAGTGCTTTTGAGAACAATTCCAGCTGTATAATTTAATTTTCTCAGATATGAAAATAAGCTAAAAAATTGTTTTAACACCACTCTTAATCAACTCTAAATCCATTTGATTTATTCAGGTATATAAAATAGATACCCTTTTTTGTTTCTACAATAGTTATCTAATTAAATTCTGGCAGTTGAAAAGTAATTGCCATAATTGAAAACAGAATAGATTTATTTTGATGCCAGCAATAATGCCTTAACACCATTGCAGTATCACTGTTGCTGAATTGTTTTTCTTTGTTTCTAAGTGAAGGCCTGATCAGGGTAACAATAAAAATAGGTAATTTTTATTGAGCACGTACTATGTGCTAGATGTTCTGATAAGAACTTATGATGCTTTATCTCATATAAAACTCACATTAATGCTGTAAGGGAGATACTGTTATTACCCCATTCTATACAAGAAAAAATGAGAACTAAGGAAGTCAAGGGGACAGTGGTGGTTCAGTGGTAAAATTCTCCCCTTCCATGTGGGAGACCCTGGTTCGATTCCTGGCCAATGTACCTCTTGTGCAGCCACCACCTATCTGTCAGTAGAGGCTTGCATGTTGTTATGATGCTGAACAAGTTTCAACAGAGCTGACAGACTAGAAAGGAAGGCCTGGCGATCTAGTTCCAAAAAATCAGCCAGTTAAAACCTTATGGATCACGGTGGCCAGACCCCGTTGTGGACGGGATCGCCATGAATTGGGGACTGACTCATCGGCAGCTAACAACAACAACAGGGAGGTTAAGAACCTTGCCCAGGGCCACATGGTGGAGCCAGCATTCCAGTCCCTGAGCTTGTACTATGTATAATACACTAGCCCCTCATGAATGAGAGGCAGTATAATATCTAAGGAGGGCCAGCAGGCAAAGAGGGAGAAGGTAAGGTTTAGTTCCTTCAACTAGAGTGTAAAAGACAAAATAGTACCTACCTGGATTACTTCACAGGGTTTTTGAGAGACTCAAATTTTAAAACTATTAAAGCGCTCTTTGCCATGCCAGTTTGGGGGTTATTCGTCCAGACCCAGTCAATGCCTGTCTAGCCTTCACCTGGCTGGACTAGGGGTTCCCTACTTCTGGTCCTGCAGGAGGTCTCCTCTACCTGACTGGCATGTGGAATGTGTCGGGCAGGCCTGTCTGGGATGAGCTGGGCTTCTTGACGCTGCTGGGAGTTACTGAGAAGAGACCTGATCTCCTTGAGTCTTTAAAGCTCATTATTTGTTTACTTCAATTCAGTGCAGTTTTATTTCTTTGCATTTGTATTATTTTAATCTTAGTAGGTAGGTTTCATTTCGGTATATTTAAGACTTGAGTTTTTTGCCTTCCCTTAGCCGGTCGCTATGAGTCGGAATCGACTTGATGGCAATGGATTTTTTTATTAGCTGAAAAATAAAAATTTTAAGTCCGTAGTTCTGACTTAAGGTAATTAGAACACTCAAAGTGTTTAATTTTTTTTTTTTCACAAAGGAACGAGAGAAAAGAAAGCATGAAAGAATTCTGAGTGAAGAACTTGTGGCTGCTGTGACCTACCTCAATCAGTTTTTGCCTCCTGAGCACACTATTGTTTATATTCCTTGGGATATGGCCAAGTACACCAAAAGGTGAATAGACAGTCATATGTCTGGTTATGATATTTTCCTTTTCTTATAATGAAAAAGCTTATCTCTATGGTAAAGTAAATGTTATTCTTTTAATTTCTTTGCTGAGCCTCCTGAGGGGCTGTTTTGTTGCTGGTATGTAATTTGAATGCTGAAATGAATTGGCCCAACTCTGTTTTTCCCTACCACTTTTGTTGTTGTTGTTAGGTGCTGTCGAGTTGGTTCCGACTTACAGCGACACTGTGTACAACAGAGTAAAACACTGCTTGGTCCTGCACCATCCTTAACAGTTGTTGCTGTGTTTGAGCCCACTGTTGCAGTTGCTGTGTCAGTCCATCTCATTGAAGGTCTTCCTCTTTTTCACTGACGCTCTACTTTACCAAGCATGATATCCTTCTTCCAGAGACTGGCCCCTCCTGATAACTTGTCCAAAGTATATGAGATGAAGTCTCACCATCCTTGCCACCAAGGAGCATTCTGGCTGTACTTCCTCCAAAACAGACCTGTTTGTTCTTCTGGAAGTTCATGGTATATTCAATATTCTTCCCCAAAGCCACAGTTCAAATGCATCAATTCTTCCTCGGTCCTCCTTATTCATTGTCCATCTTTCGGATGTTTATGAGGCGATTGAAAATACCATGGCTTGGGTCAGGCATACCCTAGTCCTGAAAGTGACATCTTTGCTTTTTAACACCTTAAGGAAGTCTTCTGCAGCACATTTGCCCAATGCAGATCTTTTGATTTCTTGACTGCTGCTTCCATGGGCATTGATTCTGGATCCAAGTAAAATGAAATCCTTGACAACCTCAGTATCTTCTCTGTTTATCATGATGTTGCTTATTGGTTCACTTGTGAGGATTTTTGTTTTCTTTATGTTGAGGTGTAATCCATACTGAAGGCTATAGTCTTTGATCTTCATTAGTAAGTGCCTGAAGTCCTCTCTGCTTTCAGCAAGCAAGGTTGTGTCATCTGCATATCGCAGATTGTTGATGAGTCTTCCTCCAATCCTGATGCCTCGTTCTTCTTCATATAGTCCAGCTTCTCAGACTATTTGCTCAGCATACAGGCTGAGTAAGTATGGTGAAAAAATACAACTCTGACGCACAGCTTTCCTGATTTTAAACCATGCAGTATCCCCTTTTTCTGTTCGAATGACTGCCTGTTAGTCTATGTGCAAGTTCTGCATGAGCACAATTAAGTGTTCTGAAATTCCCATTCTTTTTTTTTTTTTATGAGGACCATTCTCTCTTGTTCTTTAGAGAGCAGTGGGGCAGAGAATCATGCAATATCAAAACCAGAAAAATCGGTTAGAGGTCATTCACAGCCAGCAGCAACCTAACTGCCTGAGTAATTATTTAACAAACACTTACATAGTTCTTAATGTACCAGGCATGGCTTTTAAGTGCTTGACAAGTACCAATTCACTTAATCACCAAACAGGTCTTGACAGAGTTAGCATTATTAGGCCCATTTCTTTGATGAGGAAACTAGGCCATGGAGAGATTAAGTCGTAAGGTCTCACAAATAGTAAGTGGTAGAGTCGGGATGGAAATCAGTTAGTTTATGACCTTGAGGCTATGCTGTCAACCATTCCATGATGCTAACTCCCACGAGGAACTTTTGTTAAATTCTTGTTAAAAATACATATTTCCTCACCACAGGCTTCCAGAATCAGTAATCTCTCCAGGGGTAAAGTGTTGAAGTTTATATTCTTAAAATGGTTCCAGGTTTATTCTGATATGTAGCCAAGTTTTGGAATCATTGTCAGATGCTCCCTTCATTTTATGGTTCGGGAAACTGAGGCCAGAAGGGAGAGGGGCTTTGTTCACTAGTTAATAGTGTATGGAGGAAAACTGTTATTGATGGAATTCCCATTATTCACAATGTTATCCATAATTTGTTATGATCCACACAGTTGAATACCTTTGCAAGGTCAAGAAAACACAGGTAAACATCTTTCTGGTATTGTCTACTTTCAGCCAAGATCCATCTGACATCAGCAATGATGTCCCTTGTTCCATGTCCTCTTCCGAATCTGGCTTGAACTTCTGGCAGTTCCCTGCTGATATACTACTGCAACTGCTTTTGAATTGTCTTCCCCAAAATTTCACTTAAGTATGATATTATACCATTTGCAGATTCTTTTTGAAGTATCTAGTCATTTCAGAAATCTCTACTCCACTACCGTTCCTTAGAGGCATTACTTTCACTTTTTTCTATTTCTTTCTATCCTACTGTTTAGTCACTTTCTCAGATACCACTTTCAGATTATCTCATTCATTTGTGGATGAACCTGCAGTAACTCCTGACTATTTATAGTAAATCCACACTCCTTAGTGTAATGTTAGGGCCTTGTCACCTGTTTGGCTCTAGAATGTAATAACTTTTTCTTTATTCTAAGGGCTATTCTGTTCCAGAAAAACTAATCTTAATGCTCTGCCCCAAATGTATCAGCCAGGGTTCTATCCCTTAGCCTTTGTTTCTGCCATTTTCCCTCCCTATGGTGATTTTCCACATCTCTTTTTTATTTTATTTTATTGTTGTACTTTAAGTGAAAGTTTACGATTCAAGTTAGTCTTTCATACAACAATTTATACATACATTGTTATGTGACCCTAATTGTGCTCCCTATACTGTGACAGCACACTCCTCATTTCCACCCCGATTTCCTGTGTCCATTCAACCAGCTCCTGACCCTCTCTGCCTTCTCATCTCACCTCCGGACAGGAACTGCCAATTTAGTCTCATGTATCTACTTAAGCACACTTCACGAGTATCATTTTATGTCCCATAGTCTAGTCTAATCTTTGTCTGAAGTGTTGGCCTCGGGAATGGTTTTAGGTCTGGGGGCCATGCTTTTTGGGGTTCTTCCAGTCTCAGTCAGACCATTAAGTCTGGTCTTTTCACTAGAATTTGAGTTCTGTACCCCACTTTTATCCTACTCCATCAGGGACTCTCTGTTGTGTTTCCTGTCAGGTTGGTCATTAGTGGTAGCCGGGCACCATCTAGTTCTTCTGGTCTCAGGATGATACAGTCTCTGGTTTATGTGGCCCTTTCTGTCTCTTGGGCTAGTACTTTCCTAGTGACTTTGATGTTCTTCATTCTCCTTTACTCCAGGTAGGTTGGGACCAATTGATGCATCTTAGATGGCCGCTTGCTAACTTTTAAGATCCCAGACGCCACTCACCAAGTGAGATGCAGAACATTTTCTTAATAACCTTTGTTATGCCAGTTGACCTAGATGTCCCCTGAAAGCATGGTCCCCAGACCCCTGCCTCTGCTACTCTGTCCCTCGAATGTTTGATTGTATTCAGGAAGCTTCTTAGCTTTGGTTTAGTCCGTTTGTTCTGACTTCCCCTGTAGTGTGTGCTGTCCTTCCCTTCACCTAAAATAATTCTTGTCTACTATCTAGTTAGTTCCACATCTCTTTTACCTTTCAAGATCTGATTCAAAACTCATCTCCTCCAAGGAACTTACTTTCATTAACCTTGCATTGTCTTTTTACTCGTTTACTACATATGCATCATATAAGCACTAGGTTTATTTTAAGGTCTCACATATTAAAATATTACTATATTGTTTTGCACTTAAATCACTGTACTTTTTTTCCAGATCATTTCATGTAGTTAAATACCTGTACACACACACACACACACACACACACACTTTCCTAGCATATTAGCTTAATTATGGGTTGGTGTCATTCATGCTAATTTATTCTTATTTTTTTCTTCCCCTGCCACTCACACTGTGCATTGTATTCTTTTCACTTATGAATCTTTTGAATGCATATTGACTTGACTGACTTAACTCTTGAAGAGTGAAAGGCTTTGGAAAAAGCTGTTGCAGGGATATAATGTGCCAAGATAAAGGTGTCCGTTATTTATTGTTAGAAATCCTTCATGCCTCTTTTGTGTCACCTGTTGCTAGTGATTGATTAAACATTATTTTGTAGAAATCAAGTGTTACATAATGTTTTTATTAATTACCAGCAGGGGATTTTTAGAAGTAAATCCCTGAATATCATCACTGTAGACTTCATTTTGCTTAGCTATAAAAATAATTATGTATTAAAACCTGGGTTCTTCTCACTTTTCTCATTCTTTCTTCTCTCCTCAGCAAGCTGTGTAATGTTCTTGATCGGCTGAATGTGATTGCAGAAAGTGTGGTGAAGAAAACAGGTTTCTTTGTAAACCGCCCTGATTCTTACTGTAGTATTTTGCGGCCAGATGAAAAGTATGTATGGTGTTTTTAAAAAATTAATATAAATCAAGAGTTTTGCTTTTAAAGACAAAGAATATTGTAACTATGAGCAGTTTGTACTGCTTGAAAGAGGAATTAATTTAGTCCTCCGGGGAGGTGAACTGCTCCTGTGATTTTGTAATGAATGTTTGCTATGAGCATGGGAATTCCTTTGGTGGTTATCTACCTTGAGATGGAAGCCGTGGGTTCTTCATCTCTGGCTTCATAGAATGAACAATACATAAAATATTTCTGTAAAGTTTTCGACAATGAATTCTATTTTCCAGTATTAAATAGGAGTAGGAGATTTTTTCCTTATAGACTACTTACTAACATTTTTGATGAAAATGATATTTGTCATTGTCTTATAGTTATTTGTTCACAAATCTTTCTTGATTACTACTTTGTGAGCTTCTTCAGGTCAAGATCCATGCTTTTAAGAAATCAATATCATGTATTTCCAACATTTTGTATTCAGTTAACATAATGAACTACAATGGTAAAAACCCTATTAGTGTATATGTAAGGTCTTGGGAAGTAATTCTTTTGTTATAGTTTGTATTTCTTATGATTTGAATTATAGGGCATCTTATTTAAAATAATTAAAATAATATTATATAGCACTTGATAGATTACAAAACACATTCCCATGCATTCATCACCATGTGTTGTTATTGTTAGGTGCCCTTGAGTCAGTTGTGACTCATAGCGACCCTATGTACAACAGAACGAAACACTGCCTGGTCCTACGCCATTCTCTTGTTTGTGTGTTTGAGCCCATTGTTGCAGCCACTGTGTCAGTCTATCCCATTGAGGGTCTTCCTTTTTTTCTCTGACCCTCTACTTTACCAAGCATGATGTCCTTCTCTAGGGACTGGTCGCTCCTGATAACATGTCCAAAGTGAGACAGAGTCTCATCATTCTCGCTTCTAAGGAGTATTCTGGCTGTTCTTCTTCCAAGACAGATTTCTTCATTCTTCTGGCAGTCCTTGGTGTAGTCAATATTCTTCGCTAACACTTTAATTCAGAGGCACCAATTCTTCTGTCTTCCTTATTCATTGTCAGCTTTGCATGCATGTGAAGCGATTGAAAATACCATGGCTTGAGTCAGGCGTCCCTCAGTCCTTAAAGTGACATCCTTGCTTTTTAACACTTTGCAGAGGTTTGCAGCAGATTTGCCCAATGCAGTACGTTGTTTGATTTCTTGACTGCTGCTTCCATGGGCATTGATTGTGGATCCAAGTAAAGTGAAATGCTTGACGACTTCAATCTTTTCTGGTTATGATGATGTTGCTTATTGGTCCACTTGTGAGGATTTTTGTTTTCTCCATGTTGAGGTGTAATCCATACTGAGGGCTGTAGTCTTTGATTTTCATTAGTAAGTGCTTCAAGTCCTCTTCACTTTCAGCAAGCATGGTTGTGTCATCTGCATAATGCAGGTTGTAAATATGTCTTCTTCAAATCCTGATGCTGCATTCTTCATCACATAGTCCAGTTTCTTGGATTATTTTCTCAGCATACAGATTGAAGAAGCATGGTGTGATGCAATTCATTACTTTTGTGTAGCCTTTATAGCCATGGTCTTATAACTCCTACCCAAGTGATTGGGTGGGACTGTGTAATAGGGTAATTGTGGCCCACCAAAGGGATCGGTCAATTTTGCCATCCTGCTGGGGTTGAAATGAGCCACCTCAGAGGCAGGAAAGAGTGGATCCTACCACCACCAAGGAAGAATAGCCAGGAGTAGAGAGCGCATCCCTTGGACCTAGAATCCGTGTATTGAGAAGGTCCTGGAACCAGGAGATTGAGAGACAGCGAGCTGTAACCCTGAAGACCACAAGAAGTGGTGTCAGAGAAGCAGTGGCAGAGAAGCGGTGGCAGGAGAGATCGTGCAATGGGCTTCCTGGCCCAAGAAGCCAGAAAGCTGAGTGCCTTTGGCCAGAGACAGAGGGCCAGAGAAAGGCGTGCCTTTGAGCATGGCTGGGATGAGGCTGTCCTGATGGAAGAACTGTATACTGAGCATTCCTGAACCTGAATTGTAACCTGTTACTTCCCTAATAAACCCCATAATCGTGAGTATTGTCTGTGAGTTCTACGTGGCCATTCCAATGAATTATCAAACCCAGCAGAAAAGTAGTGAGTGCCATGAGAAGGATGGTTGGTGTCAGAATTGGTAAAGATGGCAGAGACAGGAAGTATGTATGTCTGACCTCTGCCTCATAGGAATCAGTCTTGGGCTGTTGATCTTGATTCCCCTTCCCTCTTGTGAAGAGAGAGAAGGTCAGGCACCGCCCCCATGCCATTGTTACATATGGTGAAAAGATACAACCCTGACGCACACTGTCTTAGTTATCTAGTGCTGCTGTAACAAATACCACAAGTGGATGGCTTTAACAAAGAGAAATTTATTCTTTCCCAGTCTAGGAGGCTAGAAGTCTGAATTCAGAGTGCCAGCTGCAGGGGAAGCCTTTCTTTCTCTGTTGGCTCTGGAGGAAGGTCCTTGTTATCAATCTTCCCCTGGTCTAGGAGCTTCTCAGGTGCAGGGATCCCAGGCCCAAAGGATATACTTTGCTCCTGGTGCTGCTTTCTTGGTGGTATGAAGTCCCCATGTCTCTCTGCTTGCTTCTGTTTTTCGTATCTCAAAAAAGATTGGCTGAAGATACAACCTAATCTTGTAGATATAGTCCTGCCGCATTAACATAACTGCCTCTAATCTCACCTCATTAACATCACAGAGGTAGAATTTACAACACATAGGACAATCACATCAGTTAACAAAATGGTGGACAATCACACAGTACTGGGAATCATGAACTAGCCAAGTTGACAGATATTTTGGGGGGACACAGTTCAATCTGTAACAGTCCATAAGTGCAAGTGATGATTCCCATTATGGGGACAGTGATAACTGGAGAGAAGCAGAAGAGGGGATGCCTCTTTCCATAAGGACAGTTCTAAACACTTCATTGTGACAAACACTGCCAAGAGTATACCCAGAGGGATATGTACTTATAGTCACATGACTTGTTATTCCACCCGACTCCCGGTACCAAATTCTGCCTTAGTTATCTAGTGCTGCTATAACAGAAATACCACAAGTGGATGACTTTAACAAACAGAAGTTTATTCTCTCACAGCCTAGCAGGCTAGAAGTCCGAATTCAGGATGCCAACTCCAGGGGAAGGTTTTCTCTCTCTGTCGGCTCTGTGGGAAGGAAGTAGGATGTAGAACATTCTCTTTATAAACTATGTTATGGCAGTTGAGCTAGGTGTTCCCTGAGACCATGGTCCCCAACCCTCAGCCCAGGAAGTCGGTCCCTCAGGGAGCTGTATCTATGGAACTTCCATGACCTTGTCTTGGACAAGCTGTGCTGGCTTCGCCAGTATTGTGTACTGTCTTACCCTTCACCAAAGTTACCACTTATCTATTGTCTATTCAGTGTTTTTCCATCCCCACCCCTCCCCTCCCTCAACCATCAAAGATTGTTTTTTTGTGGATATAAACCTCTTGTTGGGTTTTTATAATAGTGGTCTCATACAATATTTGCCCTTTTGTGATTGACTTATGTCAGTCAGCATTATGCCCTCCAGATTCATCCATGTTGTGAGATGCTTTCCAGATTCATCATCGTTCTTTATCATTGCATAGTATTCCATTGTGTGTATGTGCCATAATTTGTTTATCCACTCATCTGTTGATGGGTACTTAGGTTGTTTCCATCATTTTGCTTTTGTGAATAATGCTGCAATGAACATGGGTGTGCATATATCTATTCATGTGACAGCTCTTATTTCTCTAGGATACATTCCTAGGAATAGGACTGCTGGATCATACAGTATTTCTATTTCTAGCTTTTTAAGGAGGCGCCATATTGTTTTCCATAGTGGTTTTTCCATTTTACATTCCCACCAGCAGTACATAAGAGTTCTGATCTCCCCACAACCTCTCCAGCATTTGTTATTTTCTGTTTTTTTAATTTGTGCCAGTAATGTTGGTGTGAGATGGTATCTCATTGTAGTTTTGATTTGCATTTCTCTAATGGCTAATGATTGTGAGCATTGGTTATTGTTTGTTTTATAGGCCTGTCTAATCTTTGGCTTAGACTTCAGGAATGGCTTCAGTTCTGAGTTAGCAAGGCGTCCGGGGGCCATAGTCTTGCGGATTCCTCCAGTCACCATCAGGCCAGTAAACCTGGTCTTTTTTTGTGAATTTGAATTTTGTTCTACATTTTCTCCCACTCTTCCCAGGACCCTCTCTTGTGATCCCTGTCAGAGTGGTTGGTAGTGGTAAGCGGACACCATCTAGTTCCTCTGAGCTTGTGAAGTCTTTTGATGAGCATTAGTGTTTAATTTTTAGGAGATCCCAGTTATCTAGTTTATCTTTTTGTGTTTATGCATTGTTAGTTAGTTTGTATTCTATTTATGCCATTTATTAGGGCCCCAGAATTGTTCCTATTTTTTCTTCCTTGTTCTTTATTATTTTAGGTTTTATATTTAGATCTTTGATCCATTTTGAGTCAGTTTTCGTATGTGGTGTGCAGTATGGGTTGTGTTTCATTTTTTTGCAGATGGACATCCAGTTTTCCCAGCACCATTTGTTAAAGAGACTGTCTTTTTCCTATTTAATAGACTTTGGTCCTTTGTCAAAGATCAGCTGACCATAGGTGGATGGATTTATATCTGGGTTCTCGATTCTGTTCCATTGGTCTTTATGTCTGTTGTTGTACCACTACCAGGCTGTTTTGACTACCATGGCTGTGTAGTAGGTTCTGAAATGAGGTAGTGTGAGGCCTTCTACTTTGTTCTTTTTCTTCAGTTATGCTTTGCTTATCCGTGGCTTCTTTCCTTTCCATATAAAATTGGTAATTAGTTTTTCTATCTTGTTAAAAAATGCTGTTGGTATTTGGATCGGGATTGTATTATAACTGTAGATTGCTTTGGGTAGAATTGACATTTTCACAATCTTGAGTCTTCCTATCCATGAGTGTGGTATGT